TCTCCCTTCTACCCTTCCTTAGAATTGCAAACTCTATGATTTGATGATCACATTCACCCAAGCTGCCTTCTACTTTCAAATTCTCCAGGAGTTCCTCCCTATTTGTTAATATCAAGTCTAGAACAGCTTCCCCCCTAGTAGCTTTTTCAACCTTCTGAAATAAAAAGTTGTCTGCAATGCAGTCCAAGAATTTGTTGGATAGTCTGTGCCCTGCTGTGTTATTTTCTCAACATATATCCGGATAGTTGAAGTCCCCCATCACTACCAAATCTTGGGCTTTGGATGATTTTGTTATTTGTTTAAAAAAAGCCTCATCCACCTCTTCCACCTGGTTAGGTGGCCTGTAGTAGACTCCTAGCATGACATCACCCTTGTTTTTTACCCCTTTTAGCCTAACCCAGAGACTCAACACTTCCATCTCCTATGTCCATCTCCACCTCAGTCCAAGCGCGTACATTTTTAATATATAAGGCAACACCTCCTCCCTTTTTCCCCTGTCTATCCTTCCTGAGCAAGCTGTACCCATCCACACCAACATTCCAATCATGTGTATTATCCCACCAAGTTTCAGTGGTGCCAACAATGTCATAGTTGTATTTATTTATTAGCACTTCCAGTTCTTCCTGCTTATTACCCATACTTCTCGCATTTGTATATAGGCATTTAAGATACTGGTTTGATCTTTCCTCCCAGTTTTGTCCTGATCCTCCTTTCTCTCTGACAATATAATCCACACTCCCTCTCGTTTCCGACCCATCTCCCAGGTCTCCATGTTCCCCACTTACCTGCGGGCTTTGCTCACCTGTCCATGGGACACCTCATTAAAGATGCCATGGGATCTTTAATGGAGTGTGAGAAGGAGAGACGCCATGGTGATGGGCACCTCAATACAGAGAGAGACAGAAACAACCACCCATAAAACATACAGGAACTTAGATAGGGTCTCATTCAAACAATTTCTGCGCCCAGCACGCTCCCTGGAACTCAAGCTCCAGCATGTACAATCTATAAAATAAACACAGCAAGGAAAAGCATGCAACAAAGCATACCAAGGAACACTGGACATTGTGAAAGCAAACCAGCAAAGCCAACCAAGAGAACGTATAGCCTGTTTTTGTTGACTCCTTATGCATGTATACAAGTAGAAAGGAGATTTACTATCAAGGATACAGTCAATGTACCAGACCTGGCCAAACCTTAAGACCTACACAGCCTCTTGGGACCAGATTTTTAAAAGGTATTTAGGTGCCTAAAGAAGAAGATAGGTGCCTTGTAGGATTTACAAAAGCACCTAACTCCCATGGGTGGTGGGTTAAGTTCCCTGTAAGCTGTGCAGCTGGGGAGAGGCACCCCTCCCCCGGCCCGGCCCAGCCCAGGCCCGCTGGAGCTGCCATGGCCTGGGAGAGGGGCCTCTTACCCGGCCCTGAGCTGCTGTGGGGAGAGAGGGATGGAGGGAGTCCTCTCTCCCCGCCGCAGCCCGCACCCCAAACCCTCATCCCCAGAGCCCGCACCCCCAGCCAGAACCCTCACCGCCCCGCACCCCAACCTTCTGCCCCTGCCCTGAGCCCCCTCCCACACTTCGAACCCCTTGGCCCCACCTCCACCACACATCACCTCCATATTGGGGCACATAAATTTCATTCCACAGATGGACGTAAAAAATTAGAGGGAACCCTGGTGGGGGGTATCATAGGCTGGGGGAGGCTGAGCCTCCCCAAACAGCCAGGCATGGCCCGGCCCCGTCCACACTCCGCCCCCAGTCCCAGCTCTGCCGCTTGCCTTCCCCTGTACTGTGGCCCCCAGCTTGGGATGGGGCTGCACCGCCCGCCTGGCGCTCCGGGGCTGAGGAGGGGGTAGGCTGGGGCAGGAGCCGGTGGCCTTGGGCAGAAGGGGCAGGGACTTGGGCGGAAGGGCTGGGGATGGGGCTAGCCTCCCCGAGCCAACTATTCACACACCACCCATGCTGACTCCCATTGGAGTTAGATGACTAGGTGCTTTTGTAAACTCTCACTAGGCATCTATTTGTATCATTAGGCACCTAAATACCTTTAAAAATCTGGTTCTTGGCTGTTAAATCCAATCAAAGAGCCACCAGAAAAGCAGACCTGTAAAATAAAACCACGGCAGTAACATGGATGGTTTTGTGGTGAGGCATGTGATTTTTGGGAGTCAGCTGACACGAACTCTGCTCCTGGCTCTGCCACCCATCCCCGGGCACAACACACAGGGCCTGCTCCATTGAAATCAGTGGGAGTTTTGCATGGTTTTAGTGCAAAACTAGACACTGCCAACGTAAAATGGGGCACATGATACGTCCCTACCTCACAGGGGTGTGGTGAGGATAAATTCATGAATGTTTGTGAGGCACTCAGATACTGCGGGGATAATGCAAACTCTCAGTTTGCAACACTCCCACTGAAGCAAACTAGAGTCCCATGCATAGCAGACTCAGGACCTTGGATTCACTTGAGCGGGTCTTTGTTTTAAACAGGCATTGTCTCCCAGGATGCTGTGCTGCAGTTTAGATAGACAGAA